TGCCAAGGTTTCGTGATTTGAGTGATTCCGGTGGGAATTAATTCTTTCAGTGTAAAGTGCGCCATCATAGTGTCACTATCCAATGACCCACCGCCACCGGTCCACTTGCAAGGTAAAAAGAATGTGAAACCACACTGAGTTAACTGTCTGACGTCGTGAGGTATGATATAATTAGACAGCTTTGAGTGTAGGAGTGGCAATATATGGCCAGACCCGTTGATCCGATCTGGCCCAACCCGTTATAAATGGGTGTGAGTCATTTTATAGGGGTCGGTTCAAAAACGGGTCGACTCAAAAAACTTATTTATTAGTCGGGTCGCAAACAGGTCAACTCACCGACCCGTTTAACTTCAACTCATTTATCATTCAACTCTTAACATTCGAAATTTGTAAAAACACACTCATAAAATGTCAATATTTATGAAAACTACAAAATCCATAAAACACTATGAAAATTTTATAATATGCAAAAAACACCCTTAAGAGGTTCGAAAATTAAAAAAACATCCCCAAAATTTTAAAATTTACTAAAAAACATGAAAATATCAAAACTTACAAAATACTACAAAAATGTATAAATTATAAAACAACACAATGAAAATTTTAAAATTTGCAAAAACATTCTAAAAGTATAAAAAATTACAAAATACACTCTTAAAAGTTAAATTTATGAAAACATCAAAACCTACAAATGGTACGAAAATCTAAAACTTATAAACATGATGAAATTTTTGAAATTTGCACAAAACAACCTGAAAGTTTCAAAACTTGTAAAAAGTACTATTAATAAGTCAAATTTTGCAAAAACACACCCCTGAGAAATCAAGATCTATAAATAACTACACAATCCATAACTTATAAATAGTATCATGGAAATTTTAAATTTTGCAAGAAAGACCCTAATAGTTTCAAAAGTTGTAAAAACCCCAAAATAAGTTAAATTTTTAAAAATTTGAAATGTATGAACACTGAAAATTTTATAATTTACAAATTACAAAAACCGTGCTGAAAGTTTAGAGTTTTGCAAAAACATCCTAAATGTTTAAAAAATTACAAAATACATGCTCAACAATCAAACTTTTATAGAAACATGCCCCGAAAATATCAGAACTTACAAAAAGTACAAAATTTGTAAGTTATAAGCAGCAACATGAATTTTAAAATTTGTAAAAAATACCCTAAAAGTTTAGAAAATTGCAAAATACACCCTACAAAGTCAAACTATTACAAAACATGCACCGGAAACAATAAAATTTACATCTAGTAAAAAATCTATATGTTATGAATAACAGCATGAAAATTTTAAAATTTACAGAAAAGATCCTAAAAGTTTCAAAATCTTAAAATGCACCCTCAAAAAAGTAAAATTTTACATAAACACACTGCATAAATATCAAAACTTATAAATAGTACAAAACCTATAACTTACAAAAAGCAACGTGAAATTTTTAGATTTGCAACAAACAACCTAAAAGTTTTAAAATTGTAAAATACATCTTAGAAAGTCAAATTTTACTGAAATGAACACCAGAAATATGAAAACTTACGAATAGAGTATAAAATCTATAGCTTATAACAAGCAATGTGAAAATTTTGTTATTTGTAATAAAACATGCTAAAGCTTCAAAAATTACAAAAGCACCCTACAAATTTAAAATTTAGAAAATAACTGAAAAGTTAAAACTTACAAAGGGTATAAAATTTATAAATTTAAAATTTTCACTGAGAAAATGGTAATTGCAGAAACTGTTGGGTTAGATTAATCCAACGAACCCAAGTGGCCCAACCTACTCGATTTTGGATTTGATTTAAAGTTGTCATCGATTCAAGTTAGGATCAGGATGCTAACCACATGGTCTGGTTAGACAGTTTCAAGTTTATCAAGTTGGGTGGTTATCTTGAATATCTAAAGGATAGGATCAACCGGAGTGTAATCCCACGGTTGTGATTAAACCATGATGGGTAGGGTTAATCACAAATATCTATTTAAATGGTAGGAGTCCCTCCTCTCAACCGTATGCAGAAAAGAGACTTAATTCCCATCATTGGCTACGGGAGGAGAGAGGAGAAGACTTCCATTGTTTTCGACGGTGAACGGTAATTAATTTATATTTCTAGTTTAATTATTCATGCCTAGATCATCAAATTATCCAAAAGTGGTATCAGAGCTAGATTGTGCATGATTTTTGATCTAGAATTAAAGTATTTTTTTCGGATTAAAAATAATAATAATAATTTTTGGGTCTTTCTTTTGCTGCTGGAGTTCTTTTGATCTACAATAATTTCATCTTTGCCACTAGATGAAGAAAACTCCTGCCATGGCCACGGAACTTTTCCACAGCAAACTTTTTTTTCATCTTTGCCACTAGATGAAGAAAACTCCTGCCATGGCCACGGAACTTTTCCACAGCAAACTTTTTTTTAATCACAAACCCATGGCACAAACCCATGGCTGCTCACGGAAAAATCAACTTTGATTTTCTTTGATATCATGGCCGCTAGAAAATTAAACTTTGATTTCAACACAAGATCAACTTTGATTTCATCATGGCTGCGGTCAACTTTGATTTTTCATCTGTATACATGGCGGCATGAACCCATGGCTGCTCCTCGTATTTGTCATCTTAGGAATATCATGGCCGCAGAACACTTTAGAGAAAAGAAACCCGACCCGCTCCAATTAATTTCTAAACCCGACCCATTACAGTTTTGACCATTCATTTTATTTTGGTCGCTACAGATCCGTTTTAAGTCTGATTTGAGCCCATAAATAGTCGTTGGAAAGATCATTTTGTGTACTTTTCAACTATACAGTTTTTATTTTAATTTCATAAAGTTTTAATACAGGAATTTGGACAATTCATAAAGATTATTGTATGCACATAAAGATAATTGATTTACTCTGATTATATCCTTAATTCAGGTGGGGTAAATATTTGGGTTCATGATAAAACGGACTACAGTATTAGATCAACCTATGGGGTTAAGGAAGATCAGTAAAACAGTCACTTAGAAATTATGGTAGAGTAGGTTAGTGTCTTGCCCAAAGGTGACCAACCTATAATACCCTAATTTTCTAAGGTTGAGTTTACTCTCATTTGGACTGGAAGGTTGCACTTATCTGTGGGTGGACTACTAGTCTTGCCCAAAGGTGTCTAGGAAATCCCCTACAGGATAAGTGGTGCAGGATAGTTGAAACATGTCAGTGAGAGGAGAATAACCCTATTGCCCAAAGGTTAGGAAGTGTTCAAATCAAACTGACACTGTGTAGGCTAGTTCTGTAGGTGATTATATATCACATTTGGGGGGGGCGAATAGCATGTCAAATCACTTGCCCAAAGGTGTGATGAGATGATGCACCCGCCTGTCCCGCAGAGTGAAAGGTTGCATACGTAAAACACTTTGACCCATCCATTCTAACCCTAAATTGGATGTGGAAATACTAAAGTTAATAAAATTGAAGGTCTCATTTGATTTATACGTCCATGGTGTAATGCAGATGGACGGACAGTTTATCCAGAAGCATCTGACTGGCATTGAGCCCCTAACCGGTTCCAACTATGGCAACTGGAAGATGCAAGTTGAAATAGTACTTGGGTGTCTTGACTACGACTATGTTCTCACTGAAGATAAGCCAGAAGAGCCTGATGAGTCATCAAGTCAATCTGAAAAGAAATCTCATGCTAAGTGGGTCAAAAGCCAACAAGCTTGCAATGCTGATCATTAGAGCATCGGTGGACCAGACTATTCGTGGAGGGATTCCGGCTTGTGAAACTGCTAAGGAGTTACTTGAGACCATAAAGAAGCAGTTTGAGGGATCCGTTAGAGCGAGACAGTACAATTATCTGGTCAAACTCATTAATCTGAAATATGATGGAAGTGGTGATGTTCGGCAGCACATTTTGAAGGTCTCTCAGTTGATCATTCGTCTCAGGGAGTTGGGACTTCAGTTAGAGGATGATCTGATGGTTCATTTTGCAGTCGCTTCTCTACCAAGCAATTTTGACACTTTTAAAGTGAACTACAGTTCTCAAGACAGGAAATGGGACTTGAATGAGCTTATTGCTGTATGTGTTGCTGAAGAAGAGCGGCTAAAAACAGGAAAAGCTGAGATGGCAAATCTAGCACATGACAAGCTTGGACCAAATAAGGCAGGAAAGAAATCCTTCAAGTATCAAGGGCACAATAAGAGGAAGAAGTCTTTTGGCAATCTTTCAACTATTTCTAGCACTTCTTCAGCAAGTGAAAAGGTTGAATGTTTCTTCTGTAAGAAACCTGGTCATATGAAGAGAGACTGTCTGAAGTATAAGCAGTGGCTGAAGAAGAAGGGAGGGAATAATCCACAGTCGGAAGGCAAGGACAAATGAGCAACTGCTTTTGGGAAACTCACAGCCTTTGGAGGTGGAGCTCGTTGGGACTTTCAGTCTGCGCTTGGATTCTGGAGTTTCCTTAGTTTTATCAGACACTTTCTATGTACCTCCTATGAGAATGAATTTTATTTAATTTCTAGATTTTCTGAATGTGGTTATAGTTTTTTTTTAGAGAATAGTTTTGTTTCTATCAGAAATGGTTTGGATGTTATCATACATGATTTCTTAATTGACGGTCTTTATAGATTAAATTTAGATACATCTTTTCCTTCCCCTCTTTGTATGTTTGTGTATTCATATTCTTCTAGTATAAAGCGTCCTAGGCTTAAATAGCAATTCTTTCATACTTTGATATCGGAGATTGGGACATGCTTCAAGAAAGTGATTGGAATGCTTAGTAAAGTCTGGTGTACTTGAACAGTTAGAAAGAAAGATTAAATCTGTGTGTTCTGATCGAGGTGGGGAATTCTATGGTAAAAGCGATCAGGACGACACAAATCATGGTCCCTTTATTGAGTACTTGAGATCACAAAGCATTTTCTCCTCAGTACACTCTCCCAGATTCTCTGCAGCAAATGAAGTAGCTGAAAAAAGAAATCGTACTTATCCAGATGTTGTTCGCAGCATGATGAGTTATATGGCTTCTAAGAAAATCCTGTCGATTGCTGCATATACCTCAAAATCAGTGGAAGCCGGTTTCTCATTCTAGTATTATATGTAGATTATATATTGCTTGCCAGCAGCGATATTCATCTCCTACATGAGACTAAAGTTTTTCTTTCGAGGCATTTTGATATGAAAGACCTCGGAGATGCTCATTATGTTTTGGGCATCAAGATCCATAGAGATCGAAGTAAAGGCTTATTGGGCTTATCTCAAAGGGCTTATATTGAGAAAGTCTTTCAGCGTTATGGCATAAAGTTTTGTGCACCAGGTGAAGCCCCAGTTGTCAAAGGAAATATGTTCAACAAATCTTAATGCCTACGAAATGAAGTTGAGCGTAGGCTCTTGAACTCTGAGGAGTATGTCTCTGCAGTTGGCAGTCTAATATATGCAGTGTCATGCATTAGGCCAGACATCGGTTATATCATGGGAATATTAGGCATGCTTCAGCTTATTAGAAAGCTGTAAAGAAGGTTTTACCGTATTTACAGAGGACTAAGGATTTCATGTTGGTCTATAGAAGGTCTGAAAATCTAGAAGTCGTCGGTTATTCAGATTCAAATTTTGCAGGATGCTGATAACAGAAAATCAACATCAGGTTATATATTTCTGCTCGCTAGAGGAGCAGTTTTCTGGAAAAGTGCCAAATAGTCTTTAGTGACGACATCCACCATGGAGGCAGAGTATGTTGCTATTTTTGAAGCAACGTTGCGTGCCTCTTAGCTCAAGAATTTTATCAGTGAACTAAAGGTGGTGGATTCCATTCAGAGACTAGTAAAGTTATATTGTGACAATCAGGTAGTCGTACAGTTTGTAAAGAATAAGAATTTTTCCAGCAGGTTTGACCAAGGGAATTTCTCCAAGGCTTTTCAAGGAATATGTATCCAGTATGGGTGTTTTAGAGTCTTTCGATTTTGTATGATCAGTGAGATTTAGTTGTCGTAGTAGTTTTGTTTTGTTTTCAAGTACTATATTTTGGATTGCTTTGAGCTCATAAAGAAACTATTGTGCTAATTTTTTAGCAGTTTGATATTTTCAAGCATTGTGTTCTTGGTTATTGTTGCTTGATATATATTTTAAAGTAAAGAAAACTAAAGTTTAAAGTAAAGAGTTTCAAGTTAATTGTAAAGAAACTCGAATTAAAGACAGTGGTCCATAGAGTCATAAAGGTTAAAGTAAAGAGACTCTTAAATTTTTGCAGAAGCTGAATGTGATTGGGCATCACATTTGAGGCTTTCGTTCTGGACTAAAGGTGATGGTTTTCACATGGCGGATGCCGGTAAAAGTTTCAGAACGGCATACATGTTTGTGTATGTTGCAGAGGACACTTAAGGGCGTACATCGGATTTGACCATAAAGGATGTATGACTCTATTACACTCCACTAAAACCACCATAAGGAAAATATCTTTAGAACATTAGTGGTACTAGCGGTTGGACCGTGGAGTGACCTTGTGCCATATTAGAGCATATAGTGTTTTCACGATCAACCATTAGTGGTACTTTTGTTTTAAGGAAAAGGTTTCGGAAACTATCCTAATTAGAATCATGGCAACAAGTTGTTTTCTAAAATAAATGGGTGCGCACCCGACTTTTGAAAGTTTTTGAAAAAATTTAAATATTTTTTTTTGAAAATTAAAATGAGATATGTTGTGCCAAGTGGGAGATTGTTGGGTTCGATTAATCCAACAAACCCAAGTGGCCCAACCTACTCGATTTTGGATTTGATTTAAAGTTGTCATCGATTCAAGTTAGGATCAGGATGCTAACCACATGGTCTGGTTAGACAGTTTCAAGTTTATCAAGTTGGGTGGTTATCTTGAATATCTAAAGGATAGGATCAATCGGAGTGTAATCCCACGGTTGTGATTAAACCATGATGGGTAGGGTTAATCATAAATATCTATATAAAGGGTGGGAGTCCCTCCTCTCAACCGTATGCAGAAAAGAGACATAATTCTCATCATTGGCTACGGGAGGAGAGAGGAGAAGACTTCCATTATTCTGTCGGTGAACGGTAATTAATTTATATTTCTAGTTCATCTATTCATGCCTAGATCATCAAATTATCCAACAGTCCCTCCTCTCAACCGTATGCAGAAAAGAGACATAATTCTCATCATTGGCTACGGGAGGAGAGAGGAGAAGACTTCCACTATTTTCGTCGGTGAACGGTAATTTAGATCTATATTTCTAGTTCAATTTCTCATGCCTAGATCATTAAATTATCCAACAGTGGTATCAGAGCCTGTTTGTGCATGAATTTTTTGATCTAGAATTAAAGTTTTTTTGGATGAAGAAGGGATGGATATGTGGACATGGCTCTTAGGGCATAATGTTCAAGGTTTTCTGTTGATGATAAAGGCATAAAATAGTGGTAGAGGAAATTCTTTGAAATTTGAAGGTAGGAATTGTGTAAATGACATTATTGAAATAGATTCTAAGTTAGATAATTTTCTCAAAGAATTCTAGAAATACCGGACACTATTTTTGACCTCCAAATTGTATGATTCAGTGTACTCCGTAAGTTTTGCTTCCTACATTTTAAAAAAAAAAGAAAGAAAGAAAGAAAAAGGGGGAAAAAATCTGTCCACTAGGACCTGAGCAGAGATCGCCTTAAATTGGGGTATCAACCTATGGAAGAAATAAAAAGACTAGAGTAATAAAATGAAGTTTTAATAATGTATTTTCTCTAATAATAATAGATTAGCAAGAAGTTTTTCTTGGTCATTTCATATTAGTGCTCTCCCTTTTTTTGCCAACTTTAGGTGATTCTCCTTTCTTTTGTTTGAGATGTGTAGAGTATAGAATTAACCCTTAACCGTCATCACTATTTAGGAGCTATCACAAGTTCAAAGTCTTGCTGTAATGTAAGCGTACTTGAGAAGATGCATAAATGTCTTGTTGAATCATAAACCACTTGTGTTCGGCTGTTTTTATAGTCTCGCACATGACATTCACCTGTGTTGATTGTACTCACGTACCTTACAGGACATTGACTGTTTATAGTTTGCCTTTCTCTAATTTCTCCATCTATGATTCTATGCAATATGTGCTACTTGGGAACAACATGCAACCATTGTATTGAAAAGACATGAGCTTCAGATATAATAGACAATTCCTATTACATTGTTTTGACCTTTTAGGCACTGCTATGCTTAAACCTGAAAGGTTGTGCAGCGTGCGCTATCAGCCAACCGGGCTACTTTACTGTCTCTCTTTTACTAGGCCAATAGCCTGTAATTGTTTTTTTTTGAAAGAAAAACAAGGGGTATCCCCCGTTCATTCATAGTCAAAAGTATTAAGTACAAAAAGTTATCGGATACGAACTGTATCCATGTTGGAAATTAGAAAAAAGAGTGTGTAATAATTAGGGATGTATAACTTTCTTCCTCTAGAGATCCATGAAGATGAAGAGAGGTCC